TTTTTTTTTGCTGCTCTGGCCGCATCTGCGAATATCTGGCGTGGTGTTCTTCTCCTTCAGCATCTAGCTGCTGTTATTTTACATATTATTTGTTCCTTAATCGATTTTCAGCAGGTATGAAGTGAAAAATCTGTTGGCAAAGAGATAAGTTGTGTGTATTGTGAGGTATACTGGTATGGAGAGTATGTTGTGCTAATGCTGTCTATTCAATGCTTTATTTTGCAAAAGCTTGTATGAAAATCATGTTTTTGACAGGAACATTGGCTGGTTTTTTATGTTTACGGTTTCCTTCAGTTTCCGCTAATCTTTGTAGAGTTTTTCATTAGCTAAGGTTTTTATTTTCTTTCTGCAGTTTTCCTACTTCCTGTCTTTCTTACTTTACATGCTCGTTCGGCCTTTGATAACTTTTGAGCATTAATCTTATCTCTCCTGATCATCAATATCAAATCTGTTGCTCAGCTTGCTTATAGTCACCTTGAATAACCTTTTTCTCTTGCAACTGGGAATCTCGCATTATAAGTGAGATGATTCAATATAAAAAAATTACGGCTGCAATGTTTTGCTTCTTTGTTGATATTGTGATTGAGGAAGAGATGCAGCAATGGTGCTATAACTTTTCTGCTCTTTTGATCGTTTTTATTAATTACGAATATCTAATCAACTAGGGAATGGGAGAGGAAGCTATCCACCGAATGTCGAGTGCTGGGTTTTTTTGTTGTTGTTTTTTTTTNTTTTTTTTTCTTGTAGGTTTAGCGCCATAGAAACTGAGAAACATGAAAAAATAGTATTTGGTAGAAAGCTAGAGTGTAGACCTTTCATTCCTTTGGGTCTACGGACTGCTTGAACTCGGGTCCTTTAAATTTGGCCGTTTCTTTTCTATTCTCACTTTTTCATTGAGTATTTGGGGATCCAACTTTGTTTCCTGCAGATCCCCTCACTTTCTTGATTTGGCTTGAATGATGTAGCTAGCTCAGTCAAGAAAACGTTCACGTTGATGACGACATTTTTTTTAAACATAATTCTACTGCATTGAAAATCAAAGTTCTTCAGCTCTATTTAAATATAAGCAAATCGAATTTGTTCGTAGACATATCCCCACCAGGACGACTTCGTTTTTTTGCGCATGCTCGTTCTAGCTCTTGGCTCATTAGGCACACTTTATTTTAATACTTTTTTAGGAACCTAAACCATGTACAACGGGATTGGTCTTCAGACTGCGAGGGGTACAGGAACGAATGGATATGTTCAAGCCAATCTTTCCAACTTATTGCTATCAAAGGTACTGCATTAGACTTCGTAGGTTCATTGTCTTTAGTAAGACCCAATAAGACTATTCTTTCAGAAGCGCGTTGAGTACAATAGTGAGGCTGACATTCGAAGAGCTGAGGCAGAGATCAACAGAGGTCCAAATGAAGAAATTCTTCAACATCAAAGAAAACGAGTTATTGAAATGAAATGTGCAGAATTTGAAATGCTTATGGAAGAAAAGGTAGTGACAGATAGAAATTTATATTAAATGTTTAAAATCAGTTTTGAACGCTCTTGGATGTCATATTTCAGGGTTTTGACGACGATGAGATTCAGAAGAAGGTTTCGGATTATCGAAAGCTGTTGTTGGGTCAACTCGAATCGGGCGAACTCAACCTGGATGCTGAGCTCGGTACCAGAGATTCACATGCTAGAGCTAAAGCTGCTGTTAAGGTATTTTTAAGGTTTTTTTTGTCGATATAAGCGTCAAGTATTTGCATTTTATATACCAGACAAATTCCATCCCCTCTCTAAGTAGAAATTATTATGAAAAATTCCACCGAAGCAATTTTTCACAATCAAAATTGTTTGCTAACTCTTACTTTATGTGCTTCGGTGCATTCGATTAATTTTAAGGCTACATTTTCATTCAAGATTAGGAACATTGACATTCCCATTAACCAAGTATATATGTGTTATGGAGAATTCAAATAAATGAGAGGAGTTTTGGCTGTCCCACTTGAATTCCTTATTTTTCAGCATATAGATATGATGTGATCAATATACCCAAATTGTTTCAGAATCGTGATAAAATGAGAAGTGCCCTCGGACTGAGTGAAGACTTTGTTCCTGGAAAATCGATGGAGAAGTACGACTTCTTTTACTTTTTTTTTGATAACCGCCATGTTTTTTCGTTTTCTTATACTATGTTCTCATAGGACAGGCTACTTACATGATGTTCCAATAGGACAGGTTCATCTCCTATATTTGCAGTATGAAGAAAACGGATGTGGTTGGAGCTGCACTAACGGCGCCTGCTGTAAGCAGTGGTGATTCTTTGCTAAGTACACTGAAAAAGGAAATGAAGGAAAAATCTGAGAAAGATAAAGTGGGTTTTCTTGAATACGTGTTTTCGGCTCTTTGCCATAATTGATGTTGTTATCTACTACTAAACTAAACTAGTATTGCTAATTTTTTTTTGTTAGAAGCTCTTCGCTTTATCAGTGAACAGTGAAGCCAGATAAGATGTAATAGTTTTCTGCTTTGCCACTCATATTTTTATTTTCTCCTTTTCCTTTTTTCCTTTTCTAATTCACGCCAAACGCTCACGATTTTTTGGAAAGATGGATGCAGTGGGACTCATCTTATAGATCTCTTCATCACTTTGTGTTAGGTAGTACAGTTTGGCGCTTTTATAGTTCTTCTTTACATCCACCTTTATCGATTTCGATCACAAATCTGACCACAACTCTGTCCAATCTGTCCATACGCTGGCGGTCTACCTTTTGTTCGGCCTTGCTATAACCTATACTGTTTACCACAGTTCTCAGCGCCCAACCATGGCAAATCGTTTNTCTTCGGCGGACTCGAACCTGACGTGTGCATTTCTGGCAGTACCACTTATTCGCAATAGTAATGAGACTAGAAGTCATTAATATGGTCTTATTTCCGTTTTCCGTTCAATTGAAGGTTGTCACATATTGACTCCTTTATCAAGTTTCTCTATGAGACGCGACCCGTCTTCCTCACGCAGGGTATCTATCCTCTTAGCTCATGCGTGACGATGCCCTGTTCTGGAGGAGTGCCATTGCAGTGCCTTTATATATTATTCGCATGTCTTTCCTGCTCCTCTTATCTTAATTCTACTTCTGGGCTCATTCTTTTGCTTTTTCCCACTTTCTCAATAATTCCGACATTTTGATTGATTGAATTTTGTGAAGAGCTTCCCCTTGTCCCTGTTTTTCCCCTTATTTGGCAATTTTTGGGCATTCGAAGAAATTCGCAGAAGAGCTTAGATGCGTATGTGATCTGGAATCGCAGTAAATAACTAACGGCAAATAGACTAAATGCGCACTCCGATATTCGTCGAGGTTCATCAGAACGGAGTAGAGAGGTGGTCAATACGCATCTGACTCTTCAAATTGGATTTCCCAACTCTCCTGAAGAGTATCATTGGGGGCGGAGTTTATCGATACGTGTGTCCTTAGAAGTCGACCGACACTCCCAACTAATCGACCTTTTTACGTCTCTCTTCGTAGAATTGCGAGTAGCATCAGATCTAGGCGCTGCTTTATGCAGGCGATATCGTTGCGCACTTCCTTAGGAAAGTTAGAGATGAATGGATGATGGAGATGGATTTTCTTTTTCGCACCTCCCCAATGTCGCTTGCTGTTGTGCTCTTTTCCTGGCAGTAGTCGTTGTTGGTTCTTGGCTTCAACTGTTTTTTAATGGGAAATGCTTTTCCTTTCACAACGAGGGAGTGCAATATATTGTATAACAAGGTCTTTATCAAGATCAAATACTTGTTTTTCAACAATTTGTGTTTAGAAGCGGAAGAAACGACGTCAACAGAGCAGCTCATCATCATCGTCCAGTTCTGACGACAGTTCCTCTGGTAAGTTTTTCTTATCGTTTGCAAGCTTTGCATTGTGCCCCTAAAATGAAAAGCTCGAAATATGAATGTTCTCATCCGTCGTTGGTGGGCAAACTTCTTCGTTTGAGATATTTTTGATCTATACGATCGCTAAAACATCCAGATTCATTATAGCATAAAATCTACAGTTCCTAAACCGAATTCGATCATCTACCCAGTATGAATGTGTGTGATAACGGCGCCGATAAGAGAAACCAATCGCTAGCAAAGGGGTCAACCAGTCCTGCGTGTCAGTTTGGTCCATCGTCGCCAGGGTTGATGTATTAATGTTTCACAACACATCATTGTTATGTTACAACTACTTGATGAATGTTGCTCCAGCTCAGTAACGTGTGAAATGTTAATCTGCTTCTTGATATGGAAGGTTAGAGTACTCCATTTGTTGCTCCCGTCACTAATTTAAGCAGGATTGGAAGTCAACTTGAAACAAGGTAAAAATTCGTGCCATACACAGGAAGAGGTTGACCCGCTGTCTGTCAGGAAAGGGATTACCAAACCTAGTTAGGCCAACAAATTTGACGTATCTGACCGTAAACCCCGGAAGTCGTAAGGGTAAATAAGCATACTGTGAAATGGATGGAACTTAGTGTTTCACACTGCCTACTAAAAATATTCATGTACAGACTTAATTTTTCTGTTTTCGCTAACAACTGAGTTTCAGATTCATCTGAGGATTCTGATGACTCTTCTTCTTCCGACAGTGACGAATCCAGTAGCAGTGAAGATGTGAAACCTAAACGGTAATTTGGTTTTCTCTCTTGAACAACGCTAGGATTGCTTCTGAAAAGTGATCATTATTCTATTATTCCAGATCTAGGAAGGAAGAAGTCGAAAAGAAAAAGACGAGCGAGAAAAGTCATGGGGATGATAGAAGTCGTGATAAGCGAAACGACAAAAGCCGCGATAGACGGGAGGATGACAGGGGCAGAAGTGATCGCAAGGAGAGAGAAGAGCGTGGTGTCAGACACAGGTACGCCGATATGAATATGTGAGGCACGATTATTAAGATGTATGCCTCGTTTGCTAGATTTACTTGTAATTAATCCGGATATTGCTCAATCTCTTGGAATACAAACTAGCCGTATTAACTATTTGACACTTGTTCAATACAGGGTCCCGGTGTAGTCATTATTGTTATTTCGATTTTCTTTCAGGAAAGAAGGCGATCGCCGCGGCGATTCCGTTGATCGCGACAATAGGAGGGACCGTAAACGCAGCCCTGCTCGTCGATCTCCCAGCTTTGAATCAAAGAGAAGGAAAACTCGTGAGAGTCGCGATAAGGACCGAAGAAGAAAGTCGAGAAGTCGCAGTCCTCGTCGAAGAAGCCGCTCTCGACAAAGAAGTCGCAGCCCACGCAGTCGAGAAGGTCGCACTTCGAACCGTGATAAGAGGTGCGTTGATAGCCGAATTTCAAGCTCTCATTCAGAGAAGCTGATACAGTAACGCTCTCGTTCCTATAATGGTGATAATAGTCTTTTTGCTGCTGATATTTTACATTATCCTATATATCATTTTTAAGCAAAGAAAGATCTCCTGTACGTCAAATCAAGGAAGAACCACGTTCGAGCGATGAAGAGGAACAAGTCGTAAACCCGTCTGATAAGCCATCGCAAAGGTTAGCTGGAGGACGCGAGAAGAGCGAAAGCCCAGAAAGATCTGAACACGAAAGTTCAGATGAAACCAATTCATGCGATTCTTGGAAGTATAAAATGAAAAGTACTGTGAGCGTGGTTAAACGATGAAATGGTTTCTTTTTCGATTTGCTACCTACCTCTTTCCTTATCTTGTGTATGGCATTAATATCTTCTTTGTAACTAATTTAACTGAAAGAATGTTATCGTCAGCTTACAAGTGGTTGTTGTATACATTTCTGTTCTCAACGGTTGAACGTAATGTGAGTGTATCTAATTTTAGCATTTCTCGTAGCATCAGATAAAATATTTTCCAAAATGACTGTGTACGTGAAAGTCAAGGTGCTTTACCAAGGCTGCTTTGCTTAATCGATCTTTTTATCGGACTGAAATGGTTATGTGAACAGTTTGCTGCACTGCAGGGATGGCATTTGCCGATGAGCAGGAGCTTATTGATCAGATTCGACATGAACTACGTATGGAAGATGATACGGGTACGTGTGCCCGGATTATAGCACCAGAAAGGAGGTAAGAGAACATGTAATCCCAGCAAACGGTAGCCAAAATGCTAATTAGTTATGCGAATAGGCTTTTATTGTCATAAGCTGCGAATCCTTCGTTTGTTTATCCAGTAAGATTTGAGTATGTTTTCCGTGTTTGTACAGAGCCATACGCCGCATTAGGATTAATCTAGCAGCATTCAGATATACTAAGTACCTTGACTTTATTGTTATTATCAATAAATAAGATGTTTGTCACATTTTTCGTGTACTGGAAAACATCGATGTTTCCATTTAAGGCGTGCTAAATATGGTGGGCTTCCGTTAAATTTCCGAACAGCAAGCAGCTCAGACGAGGAAGAATTGGATCGCAGTGATTACTATGATTACGAAGTTGGTTCACATCCCCATCTGAACCCTTGCATTTGAATAAAATAATAAAAAATATTGTTCGTAAACTTTTTCCTTTTTGAGATTCCATCGGAGGGGGAACCTGCTCGCACCAAAGAGATCATCGAAGGACGTTTGCGTTCACGAACAGGAGAAAGTGTCGATGCGATAGGATTACTATCAAGTTCGTGATTGCAAAAGTACTAACAACATTCAAATACGCTGTTGTAGCAGATTGGGCCTCCCAAGACGGCTCAAAAACAAAATTTGATTTGAATACGGCATATCCCTTAGAAGCTTTTTTAACGAGACATATTGAGTCTTTTAGCTACCGATAATAGAAGAAATTCGGATGATTTGTTTGTCACCAAAGAGGTACAGCCGATCAAGAAGCATTCAAAAAGACGGTCGGCAGTCTCCAGGTACGATCAGCTTTTTTATCGGCAACCTCCAGATAAGTGCAGCTTACTTCGTGCACTGACCAAACAGTAGGCTTTAACTGTGGATATTTGCGATGTCAAAATAAGTTTCTCCTTGGGTTAATCGGATAGTGTGGTGTTTGGGAGGTATATTTCGATCAATAGAACGTTCCACCTTTCCGAGAGTAAGTGCCAAGTAAGCTTGCCGGCAGTCGATCTTATCAACCGAGCCTCACGGCTTTCATACCATGTACAGGTGTGGTACTAATTGAGTGATATTTGAAGAAAAAAGTAGTCTAACTTGTTTAAAACTTTTCGTCGGAAGGTACCCCCGAATCAGATTAATTTTTTCAGGTTTGTCAGTGAGAGTGGTAGCTCTATGGATAATCCCTTATTTGGTTACGCAAAGTGTGAAGCGGTTGGTGACCAACCGGCGAAGACGATTCTCGTTCTCTTCCCTGACATCGATGAAACAAATGAGAATATTCCTCAAATTCGAGTAAGCGAAATCCATTCTCATGTGGCCATCCACGGAAACAAAATTTTAATGAACTATGAAATAGCTTCAGTAAAAGGTTCCCTGTGGTTTTAGATTTCGGTACAACCTTCTACAAAAGTTGGAGATGTCATCGGCTACTGTCTTTATCGCTTATATACTGATTTGGACAAAATGCCGAGGTAAAACTTAGTGCTTTTTATTAGTCAATGCTATTTTCCTGAGCATTGTCTGTTTTCTTTGAAGTGGGACCGTGGACGACTATCAATTATTGATGGCGGACGATAGTGGAGAAATCGAATCCGACTTGCCACCATTGGAAAGAGGGAGATCTATTGGTGAACTCGGCTTCACTGTACTCGCCCTTGTTTCGAAACGCAAAAGCTTGGATGGCGATTCGAAATCAGTGCACAGAATTGTTGTGTGAGTTTTCTAATATTATTGAGAATGAGAATTTTTTAATGATTCTCATGTGTGATGGTATACCGTGCCTGATTTTGATATAATAAATAAAAAATTGAGTAAAAAATTGAGGGCGAAGAGATATCGCTTTTATCGGTTTTCTTGAATTTTAGATGCAAAAATGAATACATTTGAAAACAATAGAACTAAAATAAGTTTCCTTTTCGAAACTTAGTGCTCAATGTCTTTTCGACGTTTCATGGCGTCCAAATAGCACGATTGTCTGATACATGCTATGCTTATCATCATTGAGATCCTTTTTTCAGTTATCTACCGAGCGGTCAAAGTTTCACCTTTGAACTTGAAAATCTTGACCATTCCCTCGAATGGTTGCGTGATGAGGCGGTGAAGAGAAAACAGCATCAGGAGTCCCCTCAACGGAGCGGCATGATGCGAGGTTTGGTGTTGTACGATTTTTTTCAGTGATTTCGAAAAGTCTCTTGAAGGCTTCTTCTTTTTGAGTCTTCTTGCGTCCTTTAGAGATGGAATACGAGCTAGAGGATGTGAACGTATTCGGAAAGCCGTTAAATCTTCAACAGTCAATCGGCAACAGTGGATGCCGCGAGTTCATTCTAGTTAGAAAATTCAGTGAGTTCAAAATAAATCCGTTCATGCTCGTTCTTGGTGAAGCATCTGCTAAAGAGCTTTTTCTTACCCAGGCTCTCGTGGGGAATTTCATCCTCGTGGGGCTATGTTCCGCCAAAGAAGTGCTGCTTTGCTAACACCTGTTTCTCGCACACCAAATAGTCCTGTGTTTGGTGAGTTGTTTTTTTTTTGACATTGTTGATATTACTGATATTGGCTCGCCACCTTGCACGTGTGGGAGCTGGTAAATGGCATATAAGCCATGAAAAAGGCGAGGGCAAGCGAGGTCTCAGAGTATGAAGGTTAAGAGCACGGTGTCGGGAAGCCCAAGTACGGGTTCGAGTCCCGCCCGAGGCCGAAGTTTTGCCCACAAATCGCCAACCTAGTGGCTAATTGCTATATTCCTAATCATTCTTCATTCTAGACTTTTCTAACCCTGGAGTGAGTCCTGCCACCACTCCCTGTACCTCATCCGGAGGAGGCGTTTCGCCATTCGTATTCTCTGATGAAGATGAAGCAATCATGTCATTCCGGGTCAATCGACTTCATCGAGTTAAACGGAATTGGCCAGCGATTATGTGTGAGACTTTCTTCGATTTCTTCCTGTACTCCTATCAATTTGCCTAGGGTAAAAGTGGGTTCTCCCTGAATAGCTTTACTTGCAACCCATCTTTGTTCTGATTTGCATAGAAAACACAAATTTTCTTGATATTGATTTATTGGATGATTGCTACCTTCAATACCAAGTATTGTGAATTAAAATTTCAAACTTTTTGCCCACAAATTGCTGCTGTCTTCGCCTATTAACCTAAATGGGTTCATGGAGAAGTTTTGCGAGACTTTTGGGAGCCAATGGTAAAGAAAAGAAAACAAGGATAGTGCATTAAAATAGTGATGAAAATACTTTTCGAATATTACAAGAAAAAAAAGATCTGTTTTGAAAGGTTTAAAATTTTCGGTTGGGAACGGGCATGGGTGAAGACCTGATTGATTGTTCCACAGATGTGAGTGCTTACTAACCCATTTCCTAGGTTTTGGCGATGTTTTTTGGCGAACAGCGTCGGAAGTTAGGATTTTAGCGATTCGCTGGGATCTGTTCGACATCGCTCCCCTTCACAGCAATCGAAAATCGTTTCTTCCAAATTCCTACCAGAAGGCCATATCTGTGTTATGGACCAATCTCTGTGAAGTGAAATGTATGGAAAAGGCGCCTGGTACGTTTTTCATAGGCTATCCGCTATTTTTGCCTTTTTTTCTCGTTTTCATTGAAGAATATAGGAGAGCTGATGCCGGTGCTGGTGATCACATGGTTACCGATGCTTGCAAAAGAAAATGCCGTGTCTGCTGAGGAGATTACTTTGCGGTACATTGCTCAGGTGAGACCACTTTCTAAAAAAATACTCCATTGAGTAAAAGGTGTTTTTAAGAACTATGAAAATCGCACATGGAAAGCAATTACGGTGGAATTCGAATCCGTGGAGAAAGCTCAGCAGGCCAGGGAGCATATGGCGGATGTTGTTCGAGCTCTGAATTCGCCTGCTTTCCAGGTAAAAATTGGAGATGGATTCCAGTTACTACAGATCGGCCTAATTAGTCTGATAACTTGGCGGAGTGGTCCTAAGGACACGGGATGCTCCCATAGAGGACTTTCAGAGTGCCCGTTATACCCGTTATCGTCAAGAATCTGGTCCATGGTCCCTCACAGCTACAAGTTTGTTGTTGCGAAATGGCCCGACAGATCCATCATATCGACTACTGCAGCTGTATAGGGAGACGGGCGTTAGGAACGATTTTGGGTAATCGATTTGCCGCACGCGGCTGTCGCGGACTACTCATTCGCTGTTATTACAGCTCTAGCGTTCTTTATACAGCTCGATCGATATGCGATCATTATTTTATGCATAACTCTGCTATTAGTACTTTTGTTCTTGTATTTCTTACCTACTGCTGCATCCTGCTACATCCCTTCGCGCGCGACGCCCCTCTCACCGCGACGCGACCATTGCGTTCCTAACGCACCACACCCCAGCTGTATAATTAGGTTCAAAGGGAATTATGTTGCATGTAGTCCACCAAAAACTGTTTTGACCCCAAATTGTAGAGAGACCATGAGACTATGTAGTACTCAGGTTGTCCCGCGCACCAGTTCTGAAGGGGACAATGAAGCTCGATACTTGCATAGGTTCGCGATTGGCTCCTCACAGCTACAACTTAGTTACGATTTAGTTAATTCAGCACGATCGCTCTGCTTTACCGTTTATAGAACTTCTAAATAATTGAGAATAAATTGATTATGATGTTCACCCTTGGATCTACTCCCCGATTCAGGCGTATCAGCACTCAAGCGGTGGCTCACGGAATCCTTCAGTAGCAGCGGAAGCAGTGCTGATGCAAATGGCCGACGGTCTTCTTCCTGCTTCAGCGGATCCATCGAAAACGTCGACTCTGAGGAAGCTTAAGAGATTGCGAAAAGCGTTCACTTCGAGAAGGAACTAGTTGCATCAAAGGTGCTGGACTGTTTCATTGCTCAATTACAACTTATCGCTACTTGTTACAACTCTTATCGATTCATATCCATATTTGTTCTGGAACTTTCTGAAATAACATTCACATCTCGAGTAACTTCTGTGATATTTTTGTAAGGGAACATGCCATCAAACCATGCTTATTATGCTAACCTTGCTAGTCTGAGCAATTTTTACGAGCTTTTGACGATTTTCTGGCTTTTTATCATTTCATTCCTACAGTTGATTATTGTCGATAAAATAGCGGGATGAGAAATACCGTTACTACTTACCTAGTCATTTAGTTACCTAGGCATTTGTCAGTTCAGATTGAACAATTCCCATTTGAGCCATATTTTGTTCAGAAGATGATTCGTCTCCCTTAGACTATGTCTGTACATAATAAATGACAAATAAATATAAAAACACTTGCTCATTAAATGCTTTTCCCTTGACAAGATATGGAAAGGGAGGGCAGACGGATTGGGTCCTCAGGGGCTATCCCCTTCACCCTTCCTATCCTCTTCCACCTTGCCCCTCCCACAATAGCTTATTCCAAGTTTCCTCGGAGTAGCTGTAACCAACGTGGTATATGATCCTGAAGACGTCCGATGACTATCATTTAGTGCAAACGGGCCAGGCTTACTCTATTGGAGATGGCCATCGGACGTCATCACCACTATAAAATACTGTCCAAATCCAGTAGGAGGCGTTCCTTCACTTCAGGTTACAATAGCGGCATACGTTCCACTACGCAGGCGAAACACTCTTTTATCTTTTTTGCCTGTAGGATATCCCATATTGTTCAGTTACTGCGTGTCTTTGAATGGGAATGGGAAAAGAAATAATCGGAGATTCAAGATGTGCAGGGCAATAACCCGCCAGAACTGAATGACAAAGGAAGGAAGTAGAGAGTATGTAGGTGGTCCAGCCCCACACAATCGGTAATTACAGTCCATAAGTGAAAAGGCATTGAGTGGTAAGAAATAAAGGATAAAGTCTTGGGCCTTAATCAATTTCGTTTGAGGGATGCGCCCACGCATTCGACTTCCATTCAGAATCGTATTGGCGTAATGAGTGCGTATGTGGCCTATACAATGAATTGCGGTATCTAGCCGATGTACAAGTCAGTGCTTTCCTCTTCCCAGACGAGTCTGGTACCAATTGACCGACCACGGCGGGATTGAAGGCATGGTTGGCCCAGGCGGGCATCGATCTGGGATTCGAACCCCTGACCGTGCGTGTGATATAGTGCGCCACTTGCTACTACACCACCTTTTACCACCCTGAAATCTTCCTTCAATGGTTGTATTTGGATTCCATTTGCAGTCGGAGAAGTTCATTTGTCTGATTAAAGCCGTGAAGGCTCAGAAGTAGTTTTGACTCCCAGCAGCACGAAAACCGTCTGTATTTCGCTGTAGAACACATACATTTTTTCGCATGTTCACATCTTTATTGCTTACAATTTATGTAATGAAAAATATTAATTGATTTTGTTTAGGTCAGTTGAAATGGGTGAAAAAAGTGGGTTCAAAAAAACCCAGTAGAACCCACATAATATCGCATTTGGTTGAATAAAATCGCTAACAAAAACCACAAGTTCTTGGACAAAGCTCTTCGTATTCGGTCCTCCATAAAGGGTCATCGCAGCGGCCACTCATCAACAGCAAGCGGCAATTGAAATTCGGATCATCTGAGCAATCGGCCTGAAAATCATATTGGTCATCTGCAGAATCATACTTCGATGCAAGTTGAACTGCTTGTGTATGATGAATGCTACCATCACCAACTCACAAATGATGCCCCGACGAATCCATCATGGAAACCAAGGCTGAGCATTATCGAGAGACAAATGAAGCAGTAGAACAACATCGTTAGAAGTGTTCTGGCTCTGAATGAGTCTTTTTGATGTTTTACTTCTAAGGATGATCCCTCTGTTATGCGGCCCAATGGTCAGAGCAAACGAGTCAAAGCATAAAGTCTGAGGGATAAGGTCTAGGGGCGTTGATTAATCCCTTCTCAGGCATTGGATTTCCATTCAGAATCGTAGAGGCGTATTAAATGCGTATATGGCCTATACAATCACTTGCGCAGGCCAGCCGATGTACCCGATGTACAAGTCAGTGCTTTTATTCTCCCAGACAGGTGTGGTACCATTTAACCGACTCCGGAAGGATGGAAGGCTCGGTTGGCCCAGGCGGATACCTATCCAGAACTCGAACATGTGGCCATGCGTGTGTGAAGTACGCCACTTGCCACCACACCACCCCAGCCCAGTCAAGGCATGTCGACTGATTTTAAAAGAGTTCAGATCAAGAGAGCTCGGTTTGGTATAGCAAGATGACAATTGACTCTCCGATAGAAAGTCTGGTAGGTTACTGGCCGACGTCAGGGTTTTCGAATGAAACTGCGTGATCGTAAATTTCAGACCCGGAAAAACATTGACTTAATTGGAAACTTGTTGTTAGGACTGCTGGGAAAGACTGATCGCTTGGAGGGGCACTTGCAAGGATGCCCATACTCTATTATCAGAATGGACGGTGAGAAGATCAAACAAGCTTACTCATGCTTCTTTTTTTAAAAGTTACAAATAATAATATTATAAAAAGTAGGCAGTAAGGAAGGGTATGGGTTTGAGCAACTTGAGGAAATGAAAGCAGGAAGCGATAGGTGAGTTGGCAGATATAGA